CTAGCGGTTTGTATGTGTAGCGCCTATCAAAGTTAATTCGAACTAACGTCTGTTAGTTCGAATTAACTTTGTAGTGTAGACATACCCGAACAGAGACTCTGTGTTAACCTGGTACAGCAAGGGAACTACTGCCAGCCTCACACAGCTTCCCCATTCCTGCCAGGTTCTGGGCATGCTTGTTAAACATCAAAGCGCTGTGATGGAAACGGAGTTGTCCTTCTGTGATATTCTGGTAAGCGTTCTAGCTGGAGAAACGTGAGGCAACTTGTTGCCATCACAGTAACTTTCAGTAGAGGCTGGTATTGCATTGGGAGCCTGTATGCACAGGAGCACAACACAAGCTTCCATTTTCCGGCATTTCTTTTGTATTGAGAACACGGGTGCCCTCTCGTGGCCAATCCAGTTTTGACATGTCTGCTGAAGTTGCCTGGTCGTGGGGCCTGTCTGAAGCTTAAGGGCCAGGAGTTCCATTTCTGAGGTCTCTTCTAAAATACAAACTCCCCTAACTGTGAAGGGAGAGCTAGATTCTCATCACCCCACTAGTTGCTCGTGACTAAAACGCTGCTGTCTCTGCGGCCTCCTTATAGAAACCAGGAGTGTGCTTCAAAGCTGACAGCCCTCTGTGCCCCTGGTAAATCTAAACCGAGACCCACAGCTCTGAGACCCTTCCTTATAGCATCGAAGAGGGGGACACGAGAGTGGGGAGTCTGCATCCAGACTCTGAGCACGACAGCCAGCTGACGGGCACCCTCCTTGCAGAGAATCACTGGTGAGTCCTCGTAGAGTCGACACCCTTTTTAAATCTCCCGGAGGGGAGAGCTCCTTGAACTCCAAGCAGGCCTTCTAGCCGGAGCCTGAACTGCTGAATTCCCCCTCTGAACTCCTGAGCTTGGGCTTCTTCCCAAAGGATGCTCGCTGCTCACTCACCTACCGCCCTGCGTGAGAAGGGGAGCTGTCCATGCATGTGGCAGATGCAAGACCAGACTATCGCTGGCTTCTAGCCAGAAAAGTGGGACTTTTCAACTGCTTCTAACTCGGCTCCCTGTGGGTGGGCAGACCTAGCTGTTGGTGCCAGTGACTACAGCTTTATTTGTCTGCTGGCCTGGCAGAGCCATCGCAGCTATTAAAGAGATGGAGCCTCTGAACTGGACATCAGAGTGGCCCGTGGAGCCGGCCTCAGAGCACACGTTGGCATTGGTCGGGCGGGAGCTGTATAACTGTAATGGCTGAGGTCGTCCTCAGAGCCCTTATAACTGAGGGTGAAAGAGGCCTGCTTGATACCTTGGTCCCTGGCCGATTTTCCAGGGATGACCCATAGAAAAATGGCCCTTACTTGTAAACGCTTGATAGAGGGATTGAGACCATGGCATTGCAGGAGTTTTTCAGAAAAGAGCTGCACTTCATCTTACGGGATCCAAAATTCATCCACTTCCCTCTTCAAGTTGGCTTTGAAAGCAGAACTTAACAGTATCCTCTCCAAGACTAGTGCAATTTCTCCCAAGTTTACCTGCTGCGTAACTCGTGATCTTAGAATCCTAGGGCTGGAAGAGACCACAGAAGGTCACTGAGTCCAGCCCCCTGCCCAAAGCAGGACCAACCCCAATTCAATCATCCCAACCAGTCCTTGGTCAAGCTGAGACTTAAAAACCTCTAGGGATGGAGATTCCACCCCCTCCCTAGGGACCCGAGCCCAGGGCTTCCCCACCCGCCTAGGGAAATAGTTTCACAACTTCAATCGATCCATTGGCTATCGGTTTATCACATCTACGCAGACATAATGAATCGATCTCCGAGCAATCTCCCATCAACACCAGTACTCCATCAGGATTAGAAGAGTCATCAAGGGGGGAGCAGCCCCTACTAACCTTACCGCACACAAGACTCTGCAATGAGTACATGTACTTCAGCTGCTCTATTGGTGTAGTTGAAGTGACCTAGATTAGGGCAACGGTGGGGAGTCATGTAGACGAGGCCCAGGTCTAACAGAAGTTAGGCCTCACTCTGCTGGTTTTTGCTATTCTCTTCCCTCCCAGTGTTCAAGGAGTGGTCACCTTAAGTCCTATCCTGGATGGCAAGACTTTTGTGAATGGAAACCTCCAGGTTGAGGCTGTCACCTTGCACCATATATGGGTCCTACTCTACCGTTCAGTGTGGATCAATGCAACTGAAGAAGTACAATAGGTCTTTGAGTGTGTCATTTGTGGATAGTTCTCTGAAAACATTTGCTCAATATGCAGTGGCAGTCTAACAATAGTAGGGACCATTAGAAAAGGGATAAATAAGACTGACTATGTAATTCCACAGTATAAATCTGTGGTACGCCCACACCTTGAGTATGGTTTGCAGTCTGCTTGTGCCATCCTGAAAAAAGATCCTAGAATTTGCAAAGGTGCAGGGGAGGGCAATGAAAACGATGAGGGGTATGGAACAGCAGCTGTATGCAGAGAGATTTTAAAAGACTGGTCCGCTTAGAAAAGAGACAGCTAAGGAGGGACGATGTTAGCGGGCTATAAAATCATGACTCAGGTGGCAAAAGTGAATGGGGAAATGTTTTACCACTTCACATAACCCAGCCCACTTTGCCAGTGACTGCTTTGCTGTGTGCGAATCTCTGTTGTGAAACCATCTCCGTGAGCCTCAGGTTTGCTCCCTCCCTTTTCAAGAGCAATTTTATTAAACGGCCAAGGGGGAGGGAGGTGATTTCTGTGGTAAGGTTATCTTACAACAGGAATCAGCACTGTCGACAGAGCAGTCCCCTTAAAGAGGTTTGTTCTGGGCCTCAGGAGCTGGGAATGTTGTCACTTGAACTCCGAAACGTGAGGCTAAAGCCTGTTGCGATATCTAAGGCAGAACGTCGGTGTGTGAAGTTAATAATGCCACTTATCGGATGAGCTGAAATGAGATCTTCTTTTGTAGCAGGCTGAGGGGACGACACTCCTCGTTCAGATCACTGCTTTGATACCTTGTAACTCTATTTATCCTCATTAGGAGGAGAGAGTGATTCTTGGTGGGAACCCCTACTTCAGATTCAGTCCTCCAATGGAGGTCAAGAATGAACGCCGTCCCTCTTTGATGCCAGCAGGGGGAGCTGATGGGCTGAGGGACTTTGAATTTGCTAAAAACGAGCTGGTTGAAGCTCACAAGCAGTGGGTAACGGGATGTGTTCTGTGACCTTCCCTAATATCTGCTTTGAGCAGAGGTATTTGATCTGCACTCATAGGAACTCTGGAAACTGCAGACAGAGGTAGTTTGTTCTGTGTATTAACTTGTCTGTCAGGCTTGGAAAATGCCCCATGCGTGCCAGGGTTAAAACATTTTGCGAGCAATTTGAACACTTCCAGTTCGGTGTCTTAACAGCAGTCTGAGCAGAGCTCCGCTTGCTGTTCAATTAAGGGCCAACACTGGGCTTCCTAGAACGCTGCCCATGCATGCGAATGATCGTGTTATCCAGTGGACTCTGCTAAATATGCTTGCATGTCTATGCATGTCATCAGGGTTGGGGGAATAGAGGAGGGGAGGGGTATAAAATAGCGAAATGACTGCTCTAGTCACAAGCACTAGATTTGCTTCAAAAATACAACCGGAAATAACAACTGTTCATTAGGGCTGTTTCTGCTTTGGCGGTAGCTCCTAGACAGCCAGGAGTGAGCAGCGGTGTCTGACGCAATGTGTGGAGGGCAAAAAAAAAAAAATCAATCCTTCAACATGGCATCAGGCTCAACTAGAAACTCGGCTTCCACTTCCTCTTCCTCGATGGCAGGGTGACTGTAACTTGCATGTCCCACTCGGACTCAATGGAAACTCAAATGTTTGTGCAAATCAGGAGAGATTCCGATGTCAAAGGGAGCAGAGCAGACTGGGCCCTCCTGCTGTCACGTGCCTCTCTAGAGTTTAGTCCCTGTAGGTTTGAAACCCCTGGTCTAGATCTTACCTATTTGCTGCATCCAATTCTACCTGTATTGACCTGAGGATATTTCATGAGCCGCAGCTCCGTGCAGAGTGGGCCACAAGTTGAGAACCACTGGTCTACGCTGAACCGGTAACTACAGTTCCTGGGAGTACACAGGAACTTTCTTCTCCCCTCCCCCCAATCCTGATAGATGGTTTTTGATCCAGCGAGAGTGTTAGTGGGCCTTGAGACATACTCCGCTTGCGGGGCCGGAATAGCCTGTGACTCAACAGGTCTCTTCGGCCTGTACCTCTTCTAACGTGGTTGTCAAACATCCCAATCTGAAACTAACTTTGCTTTCCCCGTAGGCCCTCCAGTTTCAAAATGCTTCCAGTTTTTAGACATAAACACAGATAAAATCTTCTTAAATAGCTCATGCTGTTCACCTACTGTGAACCGTGATGCAGGCAGAGCCCAGAGAGGGACCCTATGATCAGAGCATGTTGATGCCTAGTGATGTCGCATTAAATCCCATGACACGGTGGATGTTGTAGGGTAATTTTTCCCCCTTTTATTTTTACTGGATTTGAGTAGGTCCTATGAGAATGGACTTCCATGTCCCTGGTGTCCTGCTGATCCGTTTGCAAAATTTCTGTCTTTCTAGGTTCCCTTTGCATATACCTCCATGGGCAAAGTTTGGGGCCGTCTGTAACAGTTAATTATATATGGAACATGCCATTCCATGACCTGAGGAAGCAGTAAAGTAGATGCAGGCTGTGGCCACTTCTGCTTATGTTCTGATTCTGCTTCCAGAATTGAAATGGAGTTAGAGGAAGCCAGGCTGCGGGCACAGAAGGAAGAACGTCAGCTGATGATGGAAGGACGTCGGATGGCCAAGAAGCTGGCTCAGCAAAAGCTGTTGACTCAAAAGCGGCATCATGCAGATCGCATCAAACAGCTGACAGAAGAGGTGGCAAGGTTTTTTTAGAACCCCTCTTGTGTTTCAGAGCAACAGCAAGAAATCCACCCTCCTTCCCCCCACCCCTGCTATTCAAACTGCATCAATGAGCAACAGCCCATGACATCCGGCACGTTGACGGGAGTCGCATTACCGCAGCCTACGTTTGTCAAAGCGTAGGAGGCGCTGAAGGAAATGTCTACTCTGATCTGACCCCCTGAAGCCAGACGTTCCTAGAGTTCAGATTTTCCGGTCCACCTGAAATCACGTTACAAGCAACCTCCTCCCTCTCACTCTCCCCTTTTACTGCAGGAAGTTAAAAGTTGCAACCTTCTGTGCGCTCGGTGGATTGGGGCAGGAAGCAAGGCAATCGTTAACCAGCAGCCTGGTAGGACGGACAGTGTGCAGCCCAAACAGATGACTGGCAGGTATGTGTAGGGATGGTTTTAATTCCTTGGCCTCAAGAAGGAAAAAAATGAACAAGGAACTCCTGAGCACTAGCAAGGTGTGACGTAGTGGGGGTACCTTGCTGGTGGCTATGCTGGGCAGTGGGTTGTGAGTGACCTTCGCTGGCTGCTGTCTACAGCATGGCCCAGCAGGGCAGGGGATGAGTCCTTATGCAAGGGGGCTTCTGAACCTGTCTGACCAGTTATCTCCCAGGGAGCAGAACACTGGGAAGAAGGCGGAGTGGATCCCTGGCTGGGGGCAGGGCTGGATGTGAGTGAGTTAGCATGGAGGAGACAGCCTAGGGAAAGGGGCTGGAATTTAGGGGCCCAGTCTCCCCCATCTCAAGGGGGGCTGAGGCATCCTAGATTACATCTGTGCTGTGCTGTATCCTGGAGAAGCAGTAAACTCCCTCTGTTCTACTAGCTGGTGGAGTCTGTCCGTGCCATTACGGGGGTGCAGGAGATGGGAAAAACCTGACGCGCCATCACACAAGGCTGCTGAAGAGGCACTTGAGCAGTTGCCTCCCTCGCTCAGGGCAGGGAGGGAAAGGCGCTGTGCTCAGGGGGCAGAGGGACATGCTCTGAAGTGGTCCTGTGAGGAAGAACGTGTGTTTGTCGGCATGTGACTGTCCTTGGAGGTGTCTCAAATTCTGCTGCTGCCTCAAGGCCAATGGCTTTGCTTGGGAAAAACCCCACAACTCTTTCACTGTAAAACAATGGCCCGAACGTCACTAGTGCTTCCTTTCCCCGCACACACCGGTTGGCAGACTTGGCTTGACGGTGTCAGCAAGTGCCATGGAGTGAAATGGAGAGGGAGCCACATAACACGCCCTCCCTTCTCTTCCTGCTCCTTTGAGCGTTCTCCTGCCACCTCCTGCTGAGCTGAGCCGCCGCCGCCAAATCCTGGGGGCAGGAGGGAGCCACTGGTCTCAACTTTTCAAACATGCCTGTCCGAGCCATTTGTCTCGAGCGTCATGGTGCGGTGCTGAGGGCAGAAGCCGGGATTCTCTAGTGGGAGAGCTGGGATTTTCTGAACCCTTCTGTGGGGGAGGCATTTTTACCCTGCCCTTCTGTGTGACCCAGGGCACCAGAGGGTACTCTGTCTGCCTGGGTAATGTGGAGACCAGCCTGCCTTTGGCACCTCATCAGCCTGTGTTGGACATCCCTCCAGGCCAGAAGAAACGGTCTGCAGAGGCCACCGCTCTTGGGGCAGGAAGGAAGACCCAGCAAATGTGGCCCCATCCGTATGGGGCTGGAGAGGCGGCCCGTTCGTACCCTCCGCTGCAGCTAAACCAGCTTTGAGCATGGATCTGCCCGGGCCATTGATGTGAAACCCAACCACTGGCGGTGGCTGAAGGACAGAGCTGTGCTGACCAGGCCGGTTATCACCGTGAGGCGAGTAGATGGCGCTTTCACAACGGCGCTGAAAGGGGCCCGAGCTGTAAACCTGGGGAGGGGCTTGAAGTCCTGTTCTCAGCCCTGGCTTGTTGTCCTGCCCTGTCTGGATCTTGCCCTGTGTAGGCCTGGACCAGAAATGGGCAAAGCGAGAACCCTGTTGAAACCCGGCGTTAAGCTGCTGTTCCTAACGCCAGTCAAGGCGTGGGGGCGGGGGGCTGGCTCACCCGGCCAAATCCTTTTGGTAGAAACTGATGTGGCAGTGGGAGGGGGGACTTGGACTGCATGGAGCAAAGGCACAGGGAGGGAGGGTGTCTGGGAATAGAACCAAGCGGCCCATCTGAGAGCTGGGAGGCAGGAGCAGCCAGTGGCTTGAGAGTAACTGAATACGAAGAAGAATGGGTCTGGCTTCTGCTTTTTTCCACTGAAAGTTCCTAGGTTACTCTGATATTTCTTTAGAGGCGATGGCTCTAAACACAAGCCTCGTCCAAGCTCTGCAGGAGCAGCAGCTGGTGTCCTACTGCGCAGGGACACAATGGAGTCTGTTCCTGCAGACAATATGCCTGTCACTGGAAGACATAAAACTGGCAATTAATGGAAGAGCCTCTGTGCGGAGCTTTCAGTCCGGACAATGCGCAGGGTCTGGAAGAGCAAGATTAAGCCTGGCGGGGCTACAGGAGCTTGTGAAACCGTCTCGGCGTGGTTTGTTTTCGGCATTCAAAAAATGGCCAGAGTTGACGCTTCAGATGAGCATAGGCTGCAGAAGAGCATTGGAATAGCAGCCACAATGTGGAGGCTGGGCCCGGGAGGGAAGGAAGGTCCCGGCCGGAGCAGTCAGCTGGGTGCCAGGTGGCCCATCCAAAATCAACAGCCAGTGGATTTGGATCAGACGTACCTTTTGGCTCCGGTTCCTCCAACTCCTGCCCTCAGCTAGTGTCTAAATACAACCTGCCACAATACTTCCCTGGGTAAAATGATTCTCCGGTGCTTGGGAAGTATCCAGGCAAGACTCCTCTGCTGTTAAAGCCAGCACCTGAGTTTCGTAAACTTCTTGTGCTTGGTAATGGATGGGAACTAGACCCACTGTGCAGCTAGCAGGCACAATTAGCATTTGCACAATTCCTTGTATAAAACGTGCTGCCCCGTGCTCTGTGCAGAGGGAGGAACTTCACAGTGGACCAGCGCACAAACCCTCCCCACCCCCAAAGCGCCGACATCCCATGCTGCCCCTCTCCGGGCACTCAACTCACCCTGAGTCCTAGAAAGAAAGTCACACAACAGATAGCGCTCCCAGCAGGCGAACGTCTGTCCCTAGTGAGCCAAAGGGAGGGGGGCAAGCGAGGCTCAACAGGTGGGATCCTTTGAACGTGGCCTCCACTGGGAACATGCTCCACAGCGGCAAGTTAATATAACGGTCTCCTGTTGCTATGTGGTTTAGTCGTTAAATCCCTGGACTGTCATTGCTTTTTACGTTGGGGTAGTATGGGTGAAGTCGGGTAAATGTTGCATTTTATTAATAGCAGCAGAACCGACGTAAATGGGGCCTGCGTGTTGCGTAGTCTTGCCTTCACCTTTGTATTCATGCCCGTCAGCGTGAAAGAAGCTATTTGCATCTATATTTGCATGTCTATGCAACCACACTTAAGTTGCGGCCCTCGGCATGTGCTGTATCATTGTGGCCCCCGGGGCTTCCAAAGTTGAAGAGCCCTGCACTCAAGCATCTTTCCTGAAATCCAAATTGGGGCTCCGGTGCCAGGAGGGTCTCTGGGTACTTGGGATCTCGGGCCATTTCAAGGCTTTGCAGGCTGAAGGTAACAGCATCCGGCTATCAGCCCAGCTACCTTCTGGGTGCAAGTCACAAGCCTGAGGTTCTCCAGGCAAGAAATCTCACTCTTTTCTCTGCTCTTGGAACTGTCAGGCAGCACGACTGAAATTCTTCTGGCCCACGCGTTAGCACTGGCACTACAACTGACAGGTACTTTCCCCTCCTTTTTCTCGTATACATTCTGGGTTCCCCGCCCCCCACTCCAGCTCATCTCAGGAAGTGGGCTTTGCCCACGGACTCTCCTGCTAGTAGATATGTGTGTTGTGAGTCTCTAAGGTGCCACAGGACCACTTGTTGCTTTTAAAGTGACAGACCAGCCCCCCTCGGACTGTTTTTAAAGTCTCAGGAACCTAGACTAGGCTCTGCTCTCTCTGCAAGTGGTGCAGAATAGACCCTCCTGGCTCTCCCAGGAAATGAACTTGGAAAGAAAGGGCAGGGAGAAGCGTGCGCGAATCTTTGTTCATGCTGCTGAAAGCCCCATAGCCCAGAAGTTGGCCCCTGAACCTCTGGCTGTAATCCCATTACCTCTGAGAGGCAGCTGTGTCCCAGCTACGCTTTAATCCTCGTGTGGAGGATTTTTTTTCTTAAAAGCCCCATGAGGACGCAGGCAGCTTGTCCTACTAATCTCAGACACCTTGTCTTCTGTTGGGGCAGGAGTCCTCTCAGCCATCAGACCTCAGGAGAGCTACAGTGACAAGGTAACCAGGCTTGCTCTTCCCACACCCTGGGGTACCTCTTCTGTGGCCAGTGCTGCTTAAAATAAAAAACCCAGTAACACAGGCTGGAATTCTGAACTAGCAGGAGCTGGTTCTGTTTTTTGCGTGTGTCAAGGCTGTTCCCCACTCTGGCACGATGAATGCGGAAGTGGGGACCCACGAAAGCACCTCAAAACCTGATCTCTACAGGCTTTGGTACAAAACTCCCTGCAAAATCCTAACACCTGGACTTTGGAGACTAAAATCCCGCTTCCCCCATCCAAGTAATGATAAGAAAACCAGGGAAGAGATCGCTTGGGGAATCTCAGCCCTAAAGTAAAACCAGGATACACAAATGAACCAATACCAGGTAATTAAAAAAAAAGAACTTTTATTATCAAAACAAAAATACCGTTGCAATCATAATGACTAGATGGAAAAAGTTGGCAATTAATATACTTATGGGGGACCCCCGTAGGCTCAGGACTTACTTACAAAACAGAGGAAAAATCCATTTCTAACAGCACAGACATCAGCTCCAAATTCCCAAACCAGAAATCAATAAAACCTGACGGATTTATCCAGACTTTACCCTACTTACACATTTTTGAAGAATCTTTTTCTGGGAGAGAGACATGTCTTCTGTCTCCTTCAGTATCTAGAGAGCAAACTGGCTCAAACAAAGGAGAGAAAAGCCCAAAATTCCTTTGTCTCAGTCTGAAATCCCTGCCTGCATTTCTATGGGCTGACCGCTACCTGGCTAAGTACAGGGGACATAGTTAACCCCTTAGGCCCTAGGCTGCTGGCCATCCCTCCTGGCTATGACAGCGTGTGACAGAAGAGGCTTAAAAAAAGTAATAAAGCTAAGGGAAGCAAGAGATCCGACTTTCTCCGACTGCTCTGTCATTCCTTCCCTCACACAGGAAGAGATTTGGTTCCGGTCCATGAAGGTGGCACTGGTAGGCAGTAACCGCTCCCTGACCCCTGCTACACATGGAGCCTGCCATCCACTGGGGAGTCTGAGGCAGGGGCTAACTATTTTCAGAAGCAACTGGGCGTGGCTGGCC